GAAAAAAGCCTTGGCTCAGGAGTGCAAGGACCTGGGTGAATTCAAATCTACCCCTAGTGTTTTCCTAGCAGTATGACTTTGAGACTACTTCCCTGGGCCAAAGCTTCCTTAGCTCTAAAAGGAGCGAGATTGTACTAGAATGACCTCGGAGGCTCTGTCCAGCTCTAGGGCTCTGATCTCTGAGCACTCAAATAATTCTAATGGAAAGGGAAGCTCTTCATTCTCCTTTTCTCACACTTCCTCATCTCCTTGTTCTGTAATAAATAAGAACTCTTCGAACATTTTCACAGATGTGATCTGATGTGACTCGAACAACGATGCTGTGAGGGTCACAGGGTAACTATTATTATCCCAGCTTATGGATAATGAAACTGAAGCTCAGAGAGATGGGGCTAGCTGCCTAAGGTCACACAGCAAGTAAATGGCAAAGCTGGGACGAAAACCCCAGGTCTCCTGACTTCCGTGTCCGAGATCTTTCAACTTACACCGTAGGTTTGTAGGATCAAAGATTTAAAGCCAGAATGCACTTTAGAAGTGACTGAGGCCCACCCCCTCACATTACAGATGAGGAAACTGAGGCAGAGAGAGGCTAAGTGATCTGTCCAAGGTCCTACACCTGGTTGGGATCTCAGGTAGGATTTGAACCTAGCTCTTCTTGATTTCAAGGGCAGTGATCTGTATACTACACCACATTGCTTATCAAATATGTATCAGTTCTGTTTAGAGATCAGAGACAACCAATCAATCAATCAATAAGTTTTTAATAAGTGCCTACTGTATTCTAGTCTGGGGCACCGAGGTGACGCATGGAAAGAGAACTGGGCTTTGTAGTTAAGAAGACTTGTCTTCTTGAGGTCAAATCTGAGATACTTACTAGCTCTGTGACTCTGGACAAGTCACTTAACTTTTTTGCCTCAGTTTCCTCATCTGTAAAATGAACTAGAGAAGGAAATGACAAACTACCCCAATATCTTTGCCAAGAAAACCCCAAAACGGGTATCAAAGAGTCAGACACAAGTGGAAATGACTAAATAACAAAAAAAAAGTTCTAGTTAGTCAATTATTATTAAATTTATTATTATTTATTATTATTTATTATATATTATTAAAGGCCTACTATGTTCCAGGCACTGTGCTAAGTGCTAAGGCTATAAAGGCAAAAGACAATTCCTTTTCTCAAGGACCTTCCAGTCTAAGGGTGGGGGGAGCGGGGGAAGATGACAGGCAAACAACCATGTGCAAACAGGTTATATGTACAGGTAAATTGGAGATAATCATCGGGGGGAAGGTTCTAGAATTGTTGTAATTGTTCATTCTTCGTTTTTGTGGAGAAGTGCCAAGCATCGGGTACACAAATGCTGAAGTCAGTGAGCTCCTACCCTCCAGGCATCCTCCCAGAGGAGGGAGGATTGCACATGTTCAAACAAAAATACAGATATAAACAAAATAATTACGAAGCTATAGGAGAGCGCACTAACAACTAGAAGGAATCATGGACGGCTTCTTGAAGGAGGTGACCTAATGAAGAAGGATTAGATAGTTCCTCCTATCATTGAAGTTTTGAACTTTCAGGGAAGTAGATTTAAGCTCAAATTAGGTAAAGAACTTCCAAACAATTTGAGCTATTTTCAAAGTTGCCATGGGCCTGGAAGTCCACGAGCAGAGGCAGGGAGGGGACGTTGTCAAGATGACTCCTGTTCGGCTGTGGATTCTACTAGTTTGACCTTCAAGCTCTCTTCTAACAAGGAGATTCTGTGGTTCTGATCCCCAGTGCCCGGTTGGTGCCCAGTCTATATCTGTCGATTCTTCCAGCCCCATACCTTGTGCCGTGTCTATCTGCCGTGCTGTGTAGTTAATATATTGATGTCTAGAGGTCGTGAAGTGATGGAGGAGGAGTCCCAGGTCTGCCAGACGTCCTTGTGTGAATCTGAAAGGTTCATTTAACTTCACTGTCAAATGAAGGAGTTGGGCTGAGGTCTCTAAGGACATTTCCTGTTCTAAGAGTCTATGATTCTTTGATGAACTGGGGTCACTGCAAGACCCTCAATCATCAAAGGAAAAAAGAAAGGTCCATTTGCACTGGGGTTCCTTTCCTCGCTTACCTTCCCCTGCCCGTCTTCCCCCCGACCCTAGATGCCCGGGATCTGTCTGGGCTACTGGACTGCTCATGCAGCTTAGATGAGGTGGAAGTCACCAACTCCGTTCCTTCAGGTGAGAGGGAGGACCCCTAACCTTACACTTACCTTGCCCCTACCTCCTAAGGTCCTCCGGGCCCTACCGCCTGCCCTGGGTCTGACCCCTGCAGACCCCTGGCACTGTTATCTGACCTACCTAAGACGACCTAAGGACCCCTGGGCCTGGCCAGCAGCCCCTCTGCTTCACCGTCAGTTCTTTGGGGCTATTCTGACTGCCCCACAGCTGAACTTTAATGATACGTTGTCTCTTCCAGTTAGAATGTAAGCTCCTTGAGAGCAGCTACTCTCACTTTTTCTATTTGTATCCTCAGAGCTTATCATAGCGCTTTGTACATAATAACCTAGTAACTTAATAGATGTTTTCTCATTCAATCATGCATTCATTCACTGGACTTACCAAGACATAGTAACCTAGTAGCTTAGTAGATGCTTTCTCATTCATTCATTCAATCATTCATTCATACACTAGACTTACCAAGACCTAGTAACTTAGGAGATACTTTCACATTCATTCTTTCAATCACTCATTAATACACTGGACTGACCAAGAGT